TCTTCCTTTTAACTACGTGGAGTGGCCTTTATAATTTTCCCCAATAGATATGAGATGGGTAGGAACATAAGCAGACCAGCACATAGGCTGTGGGTGCAAGGTGATTTATAGGAAATGTATAGCATCATTTCTGTGTGTGAGGAAATAAGGCATTTGAGGCATCAGACCATTTAAACAGTCATCTGATTATATTATTCCTCATTTTCTATCAATAGGTAAATTAAAGGGACTTTTTCTGAGAATATTCTCTGTTGTGGATCACTGGCAACTGAATATTTTTTTTTTTTTACAATTACAATGAATCTCAGCTTTTGATAGATTTTGATGGTATAAGAAATCAAGGGTACTTGGGCACATCTGGTTTTGGCTAGAACTCTGATTCTGGTCTTTGGTGTCTATTTTTTTGGTGTCTCTAACAAGTCTACTTCATGTTTCTATCTTACCTTCCTCCAACAAGGCAACACCTCCTAATAGTGCTACTCCGTTTGGGGGTCATTTTCTTTCAAACCACCACATGATTATCCAACTCAGATTTTGGAACTGAGGCTAGCCTTAAGCTAATATCATTTGTCATGTTTCTTCATTGTGTTTTATATGACAAAAATGAATACAGTGTTGGAATTTTTTGCTTGTTCTTTTTTGTTTGTTTGTTTTTTGAGACAGAGTTTCTCTGTGTAGCTCTGACTGTCCTGAATCTTGCTCTCTAGACCAGGCTGGGCATAAATGCAGAGATCAGCCTTCATCTGTCTTCTGAGTTTTGGGATTAAAGGAGTGTGTCACCACACTCAGCAAGGTATTTTAATTATTCTTCAAATTTATCTGAGAAATTATATACTAAGTTTTGGCCTTACATAACTTTGCATCAATCACTTGGCCATAATAACTAGATGGCCAGGAGAGAAAAGATTCCTGTAAATAAATGAAATTTACCTACTCTGTATCTTCTCTGTCTCTCTGTCTGTTTCTCCCCTCTTTCTCTGTTTCTCTGTACCAGTGTTTGTGTGTGTCTGAGTGTTTGGTGTGTAGGCATACAGGTGTGGCCACCCAGGGAGGCATGTGTGGAGGCCACAGATTGCCATCCAGTCATTTTCCTCACTGTTTAAGGCAGGATCTCCACTGAACCCTGAACACTCTTTTATCTAGACTCCCAAGATTCTCTTGTTCTTCATCTCCTGGCTCTCAGGTTAGCATGTGCACGGTGACACCTGGCTTTAAAGCTGGTGCTAGGGGTCCAAACTCAAGTCCTTATGCTTATGTAGCAAACACTTTACCCATTGTCCCATTTCCCCAGCCTTGAAATTTAATTTGATTAGGTAAAGTATTGGTCTCAATGCAAAGGTCTTATTCTGATTCTTAAGCTCCATCCACTGAAGGAACAGTTCGTGTGTGTGTGTGTGTGTGTGTGTGTGTGAGTGTGAATGTAAAATTCTATTTTTCTGATCATTAGTGGCAACTTAAAACATAAAATGTAACTGGATGTTGTACTCAGACTTCTTATCATGTAGCCATATAAACCTATTGTTACATGGAAATTCAAACATAAGACCACTATATTGGAGTCTAAATTGATATCTTTGAAGACGTCTAGATATAGGCTTAATTCCTCTCCTCCCCACTCCCTTGCCCAAGACAACTAGATTCTAACTCCAAATTTTTTGGTTACTTGGATGAGCAGAAAGATTTCCATCATCTACATGCTGCACAAGACAAATTATCTGTCTGAAATATGTTGGTTTCAGTGTTACCTCTGTAACAACAGAGACTCACCTAGGGAGATGTGGCTGGACCTAGATTTCCTAATTGGATTGGGAGGCAAATCACTGAAGTTTTTTCTAGTGCTTATTATCCCACTTGGAAAAAATGACAATGATAATTCTACCCTAGTTTTGTTGAAAATTCTTAAATGTTTCTATATTCATTTATACATGGTCTGTTTTTAGAAATTTGATACACTTACTCTGTTGTTAATAATGTTTCAATGAAATCTTATTAAAATTGCTGTATTTTCTCAATTTTTGAAATTATAACAAAAATCTCAATCTACTAGGAGTGTAGATTATCAGAAAATACGACTTTTAATAGTATTTATTTTACTTAGTATATTTTTGGAAATGCAGTGATTACATGCTAAGAATTAAAAGCAAATAAGCCATATGCAACTAAATAAAAATATCTGTTGTGTCAACGATAACATTAATAATGTAGCTAAAGTACTAATTAGATGCGACATCCAAGGCATTGGATGCTTTGTAATTATGTTTACAATGGAGTCTGTGCCTTTTGAAGTTTCTTTTTAAGTATTCAGAATTATCAATTTCTCTGCTCCGGGGTAATTTCCTATATTTTATAACTTTGTTACGTTTGTTTTTTAATAAAAAAGTAGGTTTTATGAGGGTCTTGTTTCTATCCCCAATCTCATTTTGGTTTAAACTCATCAAGCATTCTGAAACAGAACAGCCCCCACCTGCAGAAACATTCATGGATATTTTTGCATATGGTTTCCCAGATTCTCTCAAAGTTCTTTTCTTTCCTGTACCTGAGATTCCCCTTGCCATTATGTAGCCATATTCTTGTTTTCTCAGTGGTGCTCTAGCACTGAGTTTCTGTTTCTTTGTCTCATATGAGAATGCTGGCAGTTCTCTGCTTTCCTTTGTTCTTGGTGATGAGACAAATACAACTGTCTGGTCTTCTCATCTGTAAGGGTAAACGTTTGCAGACGT